CAGGAATGAACATCAGTGACATTTCACCTCTAAGGCTTTTTTTCAGTGTTACTTAATTGCATCAGGTATTCAATAAGTAAATATATCCACTTTTTGTGTGTCTTGCTGCCAGCCAGACACTAAAATACATAAATCTTTTGGTTGGAATGTCCAGATTTATGGTGGTACTTACTCCCATGAGTAAGGTCTTGACTGAGTTACCGGCATGAGGAACAGCATGTGAGTTGAATTCAAGAGCATACCTCTTGGCATTAACGATGCAGCTATTTTGAAATGGTTTCAAATAGCATGGCTGTACTACCAGAAGACAAAAAACTTAAAGCTTCAAAATTAGCAGCAGCTTTCCAGAGGAGTTAGTGGATCAGTTCTTGTAGCAAACTGTGTTAGCTGAAACTGAGAAGTCTTTAAGATAGAGACCTCTTGCAATAGGTGTCATGCAACATAAGTTCTTGCTGTCAGATGCCACGCTACCTCGTCCTGATCAACACTGGGCTGTACACCTGAAAAAGAATCTTTAAAGGATCAGCAGATCGTGTTTATGTTGCTGTCACACCCTGCTTTTATTGCTAGGAAATTGCTTTGAGAAAAGGACATTCCTATAAAAATCATAAAGGGTCCAGTTAGTACATTTTTTTGTGAATATTGTCTCTACTTCTGTCCTCACCCTGGCCCCCTTCAGGAAACATGTCCTGGATCTTCCTGCCACACATGGAAGAGAGGGAGAGTCATGACGTTTCTCCTTTAGAAAGCTTAACACAGTTATTGCATCAGATGCAGGAACTGAAACTCAGCTGGGTTTCACATTTGCTGCTCTGGCTTGGTGCCCGGGGAAAGCTTTTCTCGTCATTATTCTCTGCTCTTCAAAGCTCCAGAAGTAGAGACGTGATCAATGGACTTGGGGCCCGAGCTTCCACCTTGGAAGTCGAGATCTTCCTGCCCTGTTACGACAACAGTAGCATTGTGCCCTTATCAAGTAACAGCAAAAATGACAAAGAATCAAAATTTCAAACCTTCCTGCAGTTCTGGTTCATTTCTACTATTTATACGCATTAGAAGCAATGCAAAAAACAACCCAAATTAAGAAAATACGACCCTCCCCCCCAAAAAGACTGCTAATTGATCCTCTTCCCAAATCTGAGAGGATGTGAATAGGTTGGCAGTTTCATAAATAATAACAGTTATTGGCTGTCAAGGCTAACGTGCTTGAGCTGGCTCTCGCAGTACTGTTGAATCGTGATGAGACTTAAGCGAACCTGAGTTTAAAGAAAATAAAATACTACATTTTAATTATAATATTGATAGGGTTGGAGATGGGGCAATCTACACCACACTTGCAAAACTGGCATCTGTTGTTTGCTAGCAGGGTTGGACTGCTGTGTACATTGGTCAGGATGCAGCAACGTTCATTAACTGGGAGAGCAGAAAAGCGGAGTTCAAACTATCTTGATTATTTTCCTAGATGACAGCGAGAAAGTGCTGTCCCTGTAATTGGTTCCAGAATTTGAGTTAATGTTGCTGTGATTAATTAGTGTGAAGTACCTCTGTTGAAAGTTGATGTATTTCAGAGAAGAGTAATAATTTATGTCAATATTTTTATTTTCATGAATGCTACTTAGAGTGGGAAGAATCTTAGAATTATGTCCAACACTGTATTTCTTGTCTCAGTGTGACCAACCATGGTTTTTCCTTGTTTTCTTCATGAAGAGCGCTGGAAAAATTCCCAGCATTGACCTTGCTTGTAAGACAAAGAGCCATGCCTAGTGAGTTGTTAGGAAGCGCTTTGTTAAGGACAGCTTCCTTGTCTGGAAGTACGTGTAAATGAAGGGGAAGAAAATTCCACAGACTTGCCAGACAATCATTTCTAATTTTACAGCGATGTAATAATCCTGGGTATCCGGTTTGTCACTGGGATCGTTTGACTACACTCAGTAGTGGAAAATCCAAAAAGGCCCAAGCTGAAATCTTAGCTTTTTAATAAATGAGCTTTCTTTCTATGACCTAATATCAGCAGTGACGTTTACCAGCCATTTTCACTCTAATGAGTTTTTTTTGCCTGAACTTGAACTGTTGCCATTCAAGGAAATGCTAACCTGAAAATAAACTCCTTTAAAGTCAAAGTATCATTTGACTTTGTTCCTCTTTCTGTTTTCACTGCCTACGCAATTTGTTTACTCGGTGGATTTTTTTTTTTCCAGGCTGGGACTTTCCAGTGACGTGTCCTCAGCTGGAAGGAGGGGGGAGTTTCTCACCGCTGAGCAACGTTGGGATTTTCCATTTTCCGGAACTCTTCCTGCATGCCATTTATAGTTGATGATACGGATCTAGTTTGGTTTTGTTTCCCTCTTTAAAGACAGAGATGTGCAACTACAAGCCTTTCATCTTTCCTGCTCCAATGTCATCAGCTTGCTTTTGTCTGCTGAGAGCAACTGGAAAGCGATAACAGTGTCCCCCCCCCCTCCCCTCACCATTTTCCGCAGCTCTACTGCATTTCCCCTGGCAAAACCTTGCTCTGGACCTCATCGGTTGTCGGCGTTATTATTTGATCCCACTTATCTTCTGTCTTCAGTTGCATGACTTACTACATCAGTGGTGTTACCGTACTACCAAGGCACCAGCCTTCTTGTTTAGCTCAGTTATGTCCTGTGTCAGCTGCCCGTGTTGTTTTTCATTCCTGTTCTGCCTCAAATTCAAAATGGTTGCCTGCAAGACCCGGCCGAGGCTAGCTTCTGCTGCCTACCTGACCTGTTCTTTTTTGATGTCACCCATTCCTTTATCCTTTAAAATGTCTCAGTAAATTACCTTACGCTTCCTTTTGCTATGACTTCCTTGCTGCTGTCTTCTGCAATGCTCCTTGTATCCAGAATACCCACCACCGCTTGTCTTTGTTTTTAAATCAACCCTTGGGAGTAGGCAAGTCAGAAACGACATAGATAATAGATTTCTACTTATTATACTAAACAGAAGGCATTACCGAAAAAATAAACATCTGTAACAGAAGAGAGCTAGGTCTTATTATTTGGTTCTCATCTATTTTAATAATATGCCAACAAATGCAAATAAAACTGAACAAACTACTTGCAAAATAATAATAGTGTAACTGTGTGTGCTGTGATGTATCTGGTAAGAGATGGGAAAATCAATAAGCTGCTGCTTACATAGGCTCTTGAGGATGGGGTTATAGAATACCAAATACCATGTGACATGGTGAGGTGATATAATATTTATAAAATACATGCAAGTCCCCAAAGCAAACTATGTTGGTTTTCCCTTTAATCATAGAAGGATTAAGTAAATACTGGAGTAAGGCTACTGCTAAATGGAGTTCTGGTCTCCCTGCCTTCCTTTTGGCATGTACACACACGGGGCTCTTGCTGACTTTACGAAGAGCTGTATATATTTATGTGGAAGTTAGAAAACCTAATAGGATGGGTTATAAACAAACCTTGGAGAGGAACAGTGGTAAAGAAGGATGGGCTTGAATATTAGGAGTACAGGATATGCCAAACCAGTTCCTCCCATTTGTTCACCAAGATTCACATGTACATACTTCAGTATGGCAAATAAATTCCTTTTTAACAAGATTATGCTTCCCTTCCTGTCAGTGATGCACAGTCAATGGACAAATGCAAGTCATATCCAAGGAGCTAATTCTATGTAAGTGTTAAAATATCTGTTTTAAAACAGAAATTAATGTTGGGCTGTACCGAGTTGAATAACTGTAAAAAGTCAAGCTTAAAAGTTGTTAAAATTCAAGTTTTAATTATGGTCAGCTAGGCAGTTCTTAATAAGTATGTACGATCTTTTTGTTAAAATACCTACCAGCAATGATTTCAAAGACTTCAGTCCACCCAAACGCTGGGGTCTGTTTCTTACACTTTAACTGAACCGTAAGTAAGTGAGGTAACTGATTTGGACATTCAGTAAAGTAGGAGTCATGGAACATGTTTCCCTTATGTGTTAATATAAACCAGAAAAATTGTGTAACTTGTTGATGACTGCTAGAATTTACGTAGCGCTGTAGAAGCTTTTGGTTGCAGCATTGATTCATCAGCATTTATGGTTGTGAAATCAAATGCACATAGTCTTTGTCCTTGATCATTTACGAACTTTGCTTTGAGATAGGGGTGAATTCTTTGTCTCAGAAATACTTGGGTGTCACTAACAGAAAAAAACAAAGACTGGGACAAAACTTCATTTGTTTCTCTACAAATCTGGAATTGAGACTTTGATTTAAATATTTTGCTGATAGCCTTTTGTATAATACTTTAAAAAGAACAGTTTCCTGGGTTGAACATAGGCAATCAAC